AATTTTTAGACAAGAAGGTTATACGATTCAACACCCTACTGTCTAAGTTATGATTAATGGTCCCTATCAAACCATGCACATTGTGAAAATGTAGGTTTCACCAGCAGGGCAACAGAAAAGTAAAAAAAACCCAACAACCAAAAACCAAAACCAAAACCAAACCAAATCAATAGCTTAGTTAAAAGTTAGATGAACTGAAAAAAAATTGAAAATTGTTCTTGATATTCTAATATATCTTCAAAATTCATATTTTAAAAAATGAAATCAGGATTTCTGACTTGCCATAATGGTGTATATCACAATATATCTTAGACATAAGAACCCGCACACAAGATCTATTAATTCTCTAGTATCTGGTTATGCATTGCCTTTTGCTGTGCTACCTGTCCCCTATCACTAATACGCCTACATTATGCATACATCTCTTTGCTCTTCTGTCCCCATTTTTTACAACACCTAAAGTGTTGCATTTTAATACAATACCAAAAATACATAAGCATGATTCTAACCAGTGAAAGGCTGAAGCTACACATAAGCAAATGCTCTTGTTTCATTTCAGCAACGCTGAGTGTCTGTGCACAAGACTCCTCTCCTACATCTTTTTCATGTGCACGGTATACATGTGATCATTACAGCCATCTGATGCTAAAATTCTATGTTTGGGAATATCATAAGGTTCCTCTTTTCTAATTATCACTGCTACTTTACATGTCTTTGTATGAATGGTGGGATTCTGGAGTATCTATAAAGCTGTATGAAATAAAACTCATTGCTCATTACTCTACTGACTATATTGCAATTTTATATAAATAGAGTTATCTTACTGATAATTGTTCTCCGCTAGATTTCTCCTAACCCTTAAACTGAAGAGAAATGAAATCCACATTCATTTGTCTAAATGATGTCATGTGCCAAGTGTAATTACTTCTAGAGCAGGTCATCTATGTCTAGAGAAAGTTTATTTCTTCAAAATGTTGAGGTGAAATTACACTGCACCATTGAGCCTGGCTTATTAAACAGAAATAGGCCAGAGGACAGCTACTTGATGCAAGATACGTTCTATATTATGAACGTCAAAGTATGCAACGCTGGCAAAACGTTGGCTGTCCTGCTCTGTAGTCAAAAAGCAAATAAAGGTATTGTTAATGTGAGAAGGCAAGCTATACACAATTTTAAATTACTTTGTTGTCAGCTTTCCCATATAATTATTAGCCCTAGAAACTGCAAAAAAAGTAATCAAAACATTTACATAGAATTGGAACTGTGGATTACTAGAAAACAAGCTTTATCAGCAAGAACGTGGCTGAAGGATTTTAGAGAACTTTATCTCTCCTCAAGCTGGGTCTCATGCACACCAAGAAGAATGGATCTCAAACTCCAAGAAAACATAGGAAAGAATTTTTATTATCATACTTCCATATCTCTATTTTTTAGTAGATATTCAAGTCAATCATCTGTTTGCATAGCTGCTAAAGAGTCCCATGCCTTCTCTAACCTGCACATTTGTCAAACTCCCCAGGGGAGGGTGGAAAACTTTAAATATAGTTCCCTACATTTAAACCTAAATAATGCAAGGAAAGTTTATCCATTTTGGTCACAAAAATATATGCAACATGAATAATAAAATCAAACTGCTGCACAGAAACTGTTCCTGTGGATCTCAGTGAGATGTGCATGTACATAACAGCTGCAGAAATAGATTCCTTTTGCAAATCTGGATAATTTACATTCCCATAATTACTATGGCATCCCATTACCTCAGTTTGTAAATTCTTTTCATTTCTAAGGATGTGATGGACAGTGAAATTCTTCTGTCAGTTTGGTCTATTCATTTCCTTTAAACAAGATCTGCTTTCAGAGTTCCTGGATGGATGTCAAGTTACGTAACAGCAGTACACCATGGAGTAACCCATTTACCTGTGTCTGCCCTTGAAGTATGCATAGATTTATTCTGCTTTGGTTTCCTTTGGCAAATTAAGTTTATGGAATGCTTTTCTTCAAGACACTGTTGACTTTTAAAATTTATAATTACAACTAAAGACTGAAAAAACTTCTTATGTAAGTATATACTGCTGTTGATCTTTTAACTGATTTATTTTTGGTTTTAGAGATCTGCAAGTAAGAAGTTTGCTTAAAATAAATGAACTGATTAGCAAGTACATTGACAAGCTACTGCAACCTTATTTACTGGTTAGAAAAGAAAACTGCGATACTTTTTTAATTTAAAATGTTTGACGGCTGGATAGAATTGTGAGAGGTTTTTTTGTAAAAGGCAAACACAAGGTTTAGTTATAACAATACTATGGCCATGGTGACATACCGAGAGGAGCTGATGTAAGACTCCCACAAACCTCTTTCTACAGCCATGAAAACCTTAAAATTTTAATGTACTAAAAAAATGGAAGTTATGAAATGCCTGGGATATGATTATGTACAGTATATAAAATTACAATATAAAAGATTCATTTAAGCTGGTGAATCTGTAGAACTTCCTCTGGGGTCACTTTTTTTGTCCCCAGAACCTCCCTACTTTGTCAGCAATATTTAAGTTAAAGAAGTTGAAAACAACTAATTTGATCCCAGTGGTAAGAAAAAACCCTTATGTTACTGCTTAGTTTTGCTGAAATAAACTAGTCACAGCATTTATACATTTCAGAGTAACTTGCTAGGAACAGGCCAAGGCACATCAGGAACCTCCTGAACTAGACAAGGTTTCTATGGACTTGCTGAATTTCAGCGCATGTCTATTCCATGAACTTGTAAACGTTTGAACACATGTAAGCTTCATTATTCACAACAGGCGTAGCTACAAACTGCATTCTGATTTATTTTGAACCTGCCTTCTGCCAGTTTCATCTGTTCTTGCATTGTTAGAGCCACTGCACAATCCCATCCACATTTGCTGTGCCACTCTGGACTTGACAGACCTTTCTCATACCATACTCATCTTTTTTTCCAAAATAAAAATTCCTGCCTTATTTCACCATTTGTTATATGGAATATATTCCATACCTACAGTCATGCCTTCTGCCTTTCTCTGAATCTTTCCATTTCAACCAGAGTTTCCAACTTCTCTGAGGTATAAGAAGCAGAACTGTATGGCATATTTAAATACAGGCAAGGGATAGATTTATGCGAGAACAAATGATGTTGTTCTGTTTTCTATTCCTTTCCAAATAATTCTTAAAAACACTTTCCTTGTTCAACTCATAATATAGACTGAAAAGTTATTTTCATTAAATTACCTATTACCACACTAAGTTCTTACTCCAGACCAGTAATGGTCCATTTACACCTAGAACTTCATAGGTAAAGCTATTTTTTTTTCTCCATATACTTTTTTTTACACTAATTTACAATGAATTTTGTCTGCCATTTTGGGTCTGGGCACTCAGTCTGGTAAGGTTTTTATACATTTCTAAGACCAACTTTCACCTTTAATACTGTGAATAATTTAGTACTATTAACAGGCTTTCTCATCACACTGCTCACCCTCTTTTCCAGCTCATTTGTAAGTATGTTGAATGCCACAGTCCCAGCAGAGATCCTTGCACTTTTCTGCTATCTTTAGCCTTTGAGAAAACTAATAATTTATTCCTAATCTCTGTTTCTTGCCTCTTAACTAATTACTGATCCACCATTTTTGTGTTCCATATTCCACATTCTAAGAAACAATTAGTTTCCTTAAAAACTTCTAGTGAAAGACCTTGTCAAAAGTCTTTGGCAACCCAGGCACGCTCTACCAGCTGCATCATGTCTGTTGATCCCTTCAGAGAGATTCAACAGGTTTACAAGGCAGGGCATTGCTATAAAACCATATTAATTTTTCCAAGGTAAATCATACACATTCAAGTGTCCCATAATTCAATAATTACTTTATTGTAATTTCCTAATTTTGACAGTACACATCTATGGCTTTTTGATATGATAAACCCTTTTAAGAAAAATGGTATCCCATTTGCTACTCTCTAATCACCAGTTAACAAGAAAGCTTAAAGTGAAAGGCTTCACACAACTGATAATGCTTAACCTTTCTTGTTCTTAAGCTCCTTAAAACTCAGAGTGGATACAAGATGGTGCTGGTGACTGCTAAATGTTCATTTGACTGTTTTTCATAATCTCTTTTACAGACACTTACAATCCTCCAGTGGGTCCTGCATTGGAGGAATCCTCCACATTCCAACAAGAAAAGTTCTGGCATGGGAACTACCCCAGTTCCTTCTACAGCTAAATACATCCATGGTGAAGCAAAAGAAGTTAATGGACAGTTTTGGGGTCCCAGTGTTTGTCTGAATAAAATTTTGTTTCTATTTTCAAGCAAAATTGCAACTTGCTCATTCATAATCTTTAAACCCTGTCAATTGGGTAATTTGGAAGCAAACCAGTTATCAATTCAGTTACTTTGCAGAAATGATTTCTTGCAGTCAACAACTCCATAATATAGTTAGTAGCCAAGTTGACAAAAAGCCAACGGGAGTCCTTGGAACAGTGGTACTTATTGAGAAGCAGCTTAGCTCCAGAAATACAATGTTTATTCCCAAGATTAACTTGTCATTGAAATTGCCTAAACAGCACACCAACAAAGGTATATTTCTACCATCTTTTGATCCAGAAATTAAGGCTAACATGTAATAACCTTTTTGTTCCCTGAAAAAAAGTATCGGAAAAGCGAAGGTATTACATCCTCATTTACAAATAACCAATCTGTTTTTATGAGTTCATGACAACACCGAAGAGTTTTTCACCATGCTAGGCCTTGACTACAAGTCTCTATTTAATCCATTTCCTCAACAAGCAAGGAAGTCTGAGGCAGTTCTAATCGACTCAGAGATGTTACACTTCAGTTTCCCATATGTGCCACTCACCTCTCGACTGTCTCCCTCTTTAAATGTCAATCTTCCTGGGAGAATGGGATGTCTTTGTGCTGGTTGTAGTGCTACTGCCCGCTAAACAGATGCTTGGGAGGTCACAGGTTGGGAATGGAGGACAAAGACTCTTACCTGCTGCTTTGGCAACATCTGCAGTTGAAATGTTTTGGAGGTTTGAGTGCACTCTGAAGGTCACAGCGGGTCCCAGCACACTGGAAGAGATTATTAAAAAATGTAAGATTCATAATCAAGAGATTTGGCATAATATTGCTTATCAAAATAGATTTTTAAGGAGAAACTATTAAGACACCATTTAGCCCTCTTCCTTTTGCTTCATTAGCTACATTTGCATACATTTTTATACCTCTTGTGGTTTCTTGTGTGTATCTTGTGCCTGTCTGAAAGATTTTCAACGACATTAGCTAAACTTCAGAACACTCCTGTAAATACTATTCCTATTATGAAAATGGCAAAATGGAGGCACTGAAATTGTTATTCTCCCAAGTACAGCATAAACCATCACTGGAAATCAGCATCCAAAGAAGATTACATGTAGTTTCAAATTTTATATGCCTAACATCAATACAAGCTTAGTCCTGTTGTCACGACTGTAAGTCAGAGGGACAATAAAGAAACTCAGAATATTTATCTTGATCATATTCTGCAAGAACATGTGTGGGGAAAAGATTTTGGACGTATCTGATCCAATGGCTGATTTTGACCAGAAAGATACCACAAAGTATTTATCTTTTAACACCAGAGGTAATCACCTCTTTGAATAACTTATGAAGGAAAATGATTGACCGTATGGTGACCTTTTTGGGTGTAGTCTGATGGTCCTTTATGGCATTAAAATCTATGAGGCATTTACAGAGGAAGGTACTGATTAGCCAGATGAAGAACGGCAGAGTAAAGTATTCAGGGTTTAACAAAACTTGTTCATTGAGCATTTTTAAAGAAAAATAAATCCGTATATGTAATGCTGCATTCATTCTCCACCCATCCCAATAATATCCAACTTACATGCACATCTGATAAAAGGAATAAAGAAATTTCCATTCTGATATCCTTAAAATTCTACTAAAGTACATATATATGAAAAATATAAGAAGAATACACACACACAAATACAGAAAATGTATTTTTGAAGAAAATTTCTAGGTAACATGAGACCGTAGAAACTATAATGTAATAATTTACAGAGGAAAAGAGCGCAAGGGCTCAACAAAGGCGAAAATTGGCACTATTATAAAAGTTAACTTACATACTAAGTAGTATGTGAGTTCTTAAGCTTTTATTATTCATACAACCAGTGAGAAGAATTACATTTATACTATGAATAACAACCCTGCTTAAATGGTGAAGTACATTGGCTGGAACCATACGTGTATCATGCTTTGACCTCCTATAGCTGTGGCTTAGGAGAGAATGAAATCTGAAAAATTGCTGCATAAAAGAAATAACTCGAAAAATATTTTTGTTGCAGGGCTTGAGATGAAGTATTAAATTATTCTTTTACTAACATGTTAATATTTTGCATTCATACAGCGGAGAGCACTTAATGAAGTGTGCTTAATTGCATCACATATATCCTAGACAGAAATACCTTTAAAATTTTTCCATTTCAGGAAGAAAAAAAAATATTATTAACCGTAAAACTTTGCTTCGAGGTCACAAAGGGAATCAGAGTAAGACTAAGAAGCATCCTTTCAATCTTTTACTAGCAAAGCATGCAGTGCACGCATTTTATTCTGGAGTTAATAGGAACTGTCATTAATCAATCATTTTTCTCTAAATACTCTTCGGGGGGGCGAGGAGAAAAAGAAAACAGAGAAATTCTATTGCTACAGGACACTCCAGATGCCAGGTCATTAATGTACAAGAAAAGTATTTTAATAATGTTAGGTAATTATAAAGCATTTATCAACATCATTTAAATAATATTTTAGTTTATAATACTCAACAATTGCAAAGTAGATTTTATTTGAGACAACTGCTTTACAAAAATTCAGGCCATTCCCCAATTCTGTCACTAACACTGAGATAATCAACCGTAAAAGGCACCTGGGAGTTTCATGACACCATACACTGACTATAACTAATCTTGCACTGTCCTTCTTTCTGCATTGCCAGCCTAAGAGAAATGATGATTCCTCTCTGGCTGCTCAGACGTTTACAGTGTAATTAACAGTCTGCTTTAAATAAAAGCAGGCACCAACCCAGCATATAGCTGTCCCATGACAAAGATAGGGTGGAAAAAAAACCACTTTAGATATTGCCCCGAAATCTACACTGCATAGTCCGTTACAGCTGAGAACCAGGAACCAATGCAAACTTTCAAGCACAGTGTAGTTACACTTCGGCTTTATCAGCAAAGACATAAAAAGTTCCCTTTCCCGCTTCCCTTGCCTGAATCTTTTACTTCTGCCTCTGGCCCAGAGCTCACTCCTTGCTCCGTTGTCCTCCTGCCACCCTCACTGCAGCTATGCATGCCTCATGGCATCGTTAAAATCATATAGATTAAAACTGGATCATTTCAGTGATCCAGCCCAGGCAGTGAGAGGCAGCAATTTCAGAGGAGTGAAGCCTGGCAGGGACCATCGCACTATTCTCTAGTGACTCCACCTGGATAATCCAGGAACACGACAGGATCCGAGTCGTGCCCATGTATGCATTGCCACAAGCACTGTCATTTCTCCTCGCCGCTGATGGGAAAATGTAGCTAAATAAAGAGGAAAAAACATCGTGGGAGAAAAATTCCTTATGCAAGTGGGATGGTATTGGGTTAATACTATTCTTTTGCAGGAAAGAAGAAATCTCAGAATCATTTAAAATACCCACTCATATATAGCTATATGGGATATTGTTTTTCTGTACTGTAGCAATTGAATGCTTGAATGTAAGGAATCACCTGAGCACCACATAAACACAGCTTCACTAGGAATATTTACAAAATACAGAAAATAAAGCAGCTCTTGTCACAACTTTTTACACATTGGTATTCTGCTATTTATTTAAAAGCAAACAAAAGACCTTGAGATTACTTGGTCAAAATTGCATTTCTGCCCGATGTTTTGGGAACTGACAGCTTCAGGAGCTCATAAAATGAGATTTTTCTCATGGGGGGCTTCTGGCAAAAGCACTCGATAAATAAATATTTCAATAACAATAGATGCCCTTTGGGGAATTCCTCGCTGTTCATTATGTGTTGGACGAGAACATTTAAACAAAACCGGTAATTACTTGACTGCAAAATATTTTTTAAAAGTCTTTTTAACAAGAAGGCAACCAGCCTGAGAAAAGGTTCTAAGATGTATAAAACGCACCCCTGATACTTCCTAACCAGGAACTTTAAATTAGATAGATGAGACTGCTTTTTCGTGCGGCTGTCAAACCCTCTGAAGCCTAGCTAATATTAATGGCAATTGTCTTTACATCGCTCTAAATACGGAGGCTCACTGAAGCGCACACGATTGTTTATGACCTGATGAATTGCAGACAAACCATTCCCACAGATCAGGGAGGGTGCTGCCGGTTAGCAGAGGCATCCCTCCTGGCTGGCTGGTTACATCATGCCAGCAGCACTCAGCCAGCTGTGCAGGTGAAAGCAATCAGAAATGTAAACCACAATGTCCAGGCTGAAACACAACCTACATCGAAGACATGCATCTGCTGCAACTGAAATTAAAAATGTTAGGTAGCAGCCCTTTTAATCTAGAAAGACAATCCTTTATATCAGATTTTTTGTCTATTTTTCCCCCCCAAGCTGTATGCTACTACAATTACACCTACGTAAATTTGTAGTTGACCCTTCTGACGTAACTGAACTTACACCCACCTAAATAAGAGAAGATTGTGAGTTTTAGAAGGCATCTGGACTACACTATTATAATGGCACTTATAATTTTTTTCTAATACTTTGTTATGGCTTTTTTTTGAATAAAGGTAAGCAGGTCTGGCTTTGAGGCTAATAAACAGTGACTTCTCCCCACGCAAAATGTAATGTCTGTTGCAATGACCTGCTAAATTTATTACTTGAAATTTACTGACTAATTACCCCCTCTGTTGGCTGTCACAATTTCTGCTTTTTTTAAAAATTTCAATAATGTTGCCTTCAGCCATAATATTTTTTTTTTTAACAAAGACATTCAAAGCATATTGCAAATTGTCACCCTTATGTGCTGTTGTCTTATATTCTGTTTACTAGAGATGAAGTAATTACAGTGTTTATACCAAAATGACTTGAAGGTTGATTGCTGATTTAATAATATCCCCTCCCCTTGGGTTTATATTTCCCATCTGAAGGCGGGAGGGTGCACAACATGCACAGAAACAAACAATATTCTTTGTGTAAAATAGAAGTATTTCCTTTCATTAATTGTTTTACTGACTAACAATATTCTTATTATATTTTGCCTGTCAACAAATGAATGATCTGAATAAACAGAGCTGGAGCATGATCAATATGGCAAGGTCCATATCACTTTCAAGCCGTAGGTTATAATTATATTTATGAATGACAGGATTTAAATCTCCATAAATTATGTACCAAGCTTTGCATGCCTGTTCTTCTCCCTCATGTGTGTATACTTCAGTATTACAATATCATACAGAAGGTTTACTGTGAAATACAGTCACAGTCTATCATACCCCCTAGTGGAAAAGGATTTGAGAAACAAGTGCCAACATGGTTATGTGTATTCTTGAAGATGAGACATAGAGCTGATGCCAGATGGAAATGAGTTGAGGTTGCACCGCATTTTTAAAAAAATACAGGCAGAGTGCAATTTCTCAAGATTGGGGGAAGATGAGGAGATCAGGATTGGATATTTCCAACATCAAACATTCTCTTAATGACCCTATTTCGTAAAACAGAGCTTGCCTTAATAAAGCATAGATTTGAAATTAGAGTCACTATTTTTCTATATGTTCATTTCAAAATCCTTTAATCTCTGGAGGTTAAGAAAAGCAATTAGTAACGCTCCAGAGGATTGTGCAAAGTAAATTTTATAGCAGCGAAGGTAATTGTCTCAGGAAATGTTTGGTGGGCTTGAACTAATGACTTGCAATGTGTACACATTTCTGTGCTTACTGTGTTTAGGAATTTGAAGCATAAGTCCATTGTTTATATTGGACTGAAGCCTCCTTTTCACCTTCTCAATTTTGGAAAAAATAAAATGCTCATACTGCTGTAAATGTGTTATATATTATA